ATTTTTATATACAATAAAATTTTCATTCAAAAAAATTAAAATGTCAAATTAATATTAATAAAAATGAAGAGGAAAAACAATTACTAAAAGAGTTTCCCACTTTATAAAGTTCAACTCGATTCGACTTTGAATTAATTATATTTAATATAATTTCTTAATATTAGAGATTAGTAAAAAAAGAAAAAAAGAAAAGAGAGAAGTTGAAGGAGAATTAGAGAGTTGAGTCAAGGTATTATTGACTACTTATTCACATTACGCCATCACGATTGAGAATTTTTTTTTCTTTTTGAATTTGCGATTAACACATATTTCAATAGAAGCTAGACTATTTATCCAAAAAAAAAAAAAAGGGAGGAGCTAGACTAGTGTTTAATTATTAATGAGTTAAGTAGTTTAGTGGTAATTTTTTTCCACTAAAAGTAAGAGATTCTGAATTCCAGTCGTATAATATACGGTCGGATAAAATAAATGATGAGAGATGATTGTCTTTTATTGTGTAACCAACATAAAAAATATATATATTTACTCCTCTCTTTAATTTTAAAAAACTTAATTTTTAATTTGATGTCTATAAATTTAATTGTCTATTTTTTTTAAAGATTTTATTTAATGTATTTATTTCTATTTTATTTTTATTTTAAGATAATTGTAATAAAAATTAAGTAAAAAAGCTTATTAAGTATAATGATAATCTATATGAATAATAATTGAAATTTTTTAGCTCTATATATGGTTCTTGTTAATATTTTTATTTGATAATTTTTTTTTAATTATTATTCATATAAATTATTAAATTTTCATATAAAGTTTGTTGTTTAAAGTAAAAAAAATTAAACTAAATCCATTCAAAATATAGAAAAAAAATATTTTATTAGACAAAAAGACTAGATGTACAACGAGGGAGTATGTATTTATTAAATTAATTTAGTTTGCCAAACATGACAACTACAAATTAATTTTCATATTTACTGTATTTGGAAGGCACTTAAAATGTAATCTATTTACTCTTTTCGTCTAAAAATAATTGTTATTTTTTAATTTTTGGCTTAGATTAAAATTTTAAGGACAATAATTATATTTACTTATAATATTCTTTAAAAAAAAGTAAAAACAAAAGAGGAGATTTTGGTGATTAGATAATTAATTAAAATGAATAGATAATTATAGGATTAACGTAAAAAGTATTTATTTATTTTAAAAAATAAAAAAAATGACAATTAATTTGAAATAAATTTAAAGTTAAAAAATAAAAATTATGTTGGAATAAAAAGAGTAAAATAATTTAAGTGAACAAAAAATACTCTTAACATTTTCCAAAAATCGCTTCTGATTAAATTTTCAAGTAAATAGATTTTATTTTGTTAATTAATTATGAAAATAATTATTTATCAGTTATATCTTTAAAAATTTAGAAAAAAAACTTTTTAAAATTATATTATTTCAATAACACCTTATTTTTAAATTGTGAATTATTTTATTTTATTTTATTGTAGTGTTTTAATAGAATTATTTTTCTAGTGCAACTCATAAATAATACTTATTCTATCTCAAAATAATTGGTGCTCTTTGATTGAATTTGTTTTAAATAAATTATTATTATTTAATCAACAAATGTATTTTTTATTTAACTATATCATTATCTCTATTTTTTAAAATAATTATCCTATCAAAAAAAATTATGCCTTTATTTTTTAGTCTTTTCTTAAAAGATAACATAGGTACATGAAGAGATCTTATGCTCTTAAAACAGGGGTCAAGTTTTATTAATTGTAGTATTTACAATTAATTTTATATAAATTTTTATATCAAATTTAATGAAAATAAAATTAATTATAAATACTTTAATTAATTAAAAATATGGTTGCACAAATTTTTTAATTTTTAATTTAATAAAATTAATAAAAAGTACAGTTCCTTAAAGAGAAAGGTAATAATATCTTTAATTTTTTGTTAAAAAAAATACTTAGTAAAAAGAAAAATGCGAGAAATGCAGAGGAAGAAGCCATCCTATCCTGACGGTAGCATTAGACTCCGACACAGTGATAGTCTGCGAAAGAAGCAGCGGACAGCGAAGAGAGAAGATGGCGATTCTTTGTGCTTCGACTTCAGTAGTCGTCTCACCTTCTTCGTCGTCATCACAGAAGCTCTCTTTTCCTTCTCTAAACAAGACTCGTTCCGGTAACAATACCTCTTTTCTTTGGTTTCCAGTAGCGTCATCGAAATATGCGGCACGGGCAGCTTCCTTCTCTGTTAATTCGAGGCGGCATTTCCGGGTTCGTTGCCAGCATCCCGACAAGCAACCGCTTGTCCCAGAGAACCAGCGATGGATGTTCGAAGATACCGAATTCGAAGGCCCAGTAATGAAATTCTCTATCTTTCTACTTTATCTTTAAGACTCTATTATCGTCGCTCCGTTGGACATTCTTGTAAACGGTTATGGATAGATGAATGGGTTTCTTGTTTTCTATTTAGCTTTGTTTGATTGTTGAGAAAAAAACAGGAAAATGAAAGACAATTTAGCCGTGGGTTCTTTGGTTTTTGATTTTGGGGACTGTTTGGAGTGCTTTTGATAATCTTATGATTAGAGTGAAATATTTTGATTGTTCAATTGGGTTTATGTGGATATGCATACTTCAAACTAGTTGCTTCATATATTTTGTTAGGTTTGTAGCAAGGGACATTGTGGCTGGTTCTAGGAAACAATGTTGCAAAGGGCACTAGGTGGTGGCAACCAACTAGTGCCTAGCCATTTTCATTTTTTCTTTCCAGGGGGTTGCACTGATCCGTTTTAGCTAGATTCAGTATTTTACTTTATTCTTTGATGTTCTTTCAGTATTATGGTGTTCCTTGCATTTGCAGCAAAGCAGATTTTCTCTTATGCTATGTTTTATTTGTCTTGTAATTGTGGTTCTCTTTTCCTTCATGTTGAAAGTTTCTTCCTTTATGTTTTCTACCTATTTGATGAATGAGATGCACACAAACGTATGACTAAGTACCTCCTATAGTTTAGGATATAGTGTATGGACTAATGAAACTCTTAGTCCCAACTTGCAACTTTTTCTCCCGTGTAAGGCTATTCCGAAATTTTACTTTCACCTTCCAGGGTGAAATTATGAGTTTTAATTCTCTATATTGACAATTCATTGTCATGGTTTTCTAGAAGTCTTCAACTCTTCTACTTTATTTGTGTCTATTGCTGCTCTTGTGCAAGCAAATGTTTTGGTTGGATTTGTCTATCCATTTTATTACTGTGACTATTTTTCTTCAAGCTATGTGGTTTTGTCTAAAGTACATAAAAAATGCCTATATGACATTATTATAGGGAGGTTGTGTATAATATTGGAAACTCGTAAATGCTACCTGCTTATGACATTGTTTGGTGATGTTTGTGATTCACTTTGCCTCATTCTTTTATGATTTGGATTTTCCATTCTGTATGCAGGATATTTGGAATACCACATGGTATCCAAAAGCTAAAGATCACATTAATACAGAAAAGCAATGGTATATCGTTGATGCAACAGACAAAATTCTTGGGAGATTAGCTTCAACAATTGCCGTATATATCCGTGGAAAGAATCTGCCCACATACACTCCAAGCGTGGACATGGGAGCTTTTGTGATTGTGGTATGTGGTTATAGCAATTGCTTGGTAGTATGATAGTGTTACTGATTAAAATATGGTGTAATAAATTAAATTATTTGTTTGAGTCATAGCAAAGAGAACTGAAGTAGATGTCCTAAAATGGCCAGTTGCATAAAATAGTGTATGCCTTGGTTGATTCCTTCTCTATAGTAACTGGAGAAAACATCTCTTCCTGTTTTATGTGCCTGTATGAGTGTCCTTTAGGTAAGATCGGTTTTTGAGCATATTAGTCATATTTGCATGCTAATATGTGTCTGATGACATAGAGATCATTTCTTGATTACCATCGAGAATAAAACACATTAGGAGAGTTATTAATTATTGCTTACTATGAGGTTTTCAGAAATCATAATCATAAAATACTCTGCCAGATGAGATTGGCTTTTAAGTGTAATTGCTTCTTATCCAGTAACATTGCCCTGGAAAAGATAGTAAATCATTTTTGAGACTTCCAGTTGATCAGTTAAAAACTTAGCTCCCTTGGCCTAAAATTCACTTATGGTGATTTGTTCTACTGTTAATAAAGCTGGAAGATAAAAGCTTAAGTCTTTCTTTTGTGTGCAAGCTTAGACTGTGTTCCTGGCGTCTGGTATTTGCGGTGAAAATGTTGTTATTTAGCTGATCATGTTTCTGTTGATTATATTTTCCAAGTTTAACCTGCTTCTCAAGGCTGTGTAGCTGGCTTTAAATTGCATCTATGGTTTGTTTAATTTGTGCACGAGCATGTATGGTTCTGCATTTATCATATATTTAAAAATTAATGTGCCTAAAATTGCTTGGAACCCAAAAGGTAAATGCTGAAAAAGTTGCTGTATCTGGAAAGAAGAGGACCCAAAAGCTGTACAGGAGGCATTCCGGAAGACCAGGTGGTATGACAGTGGAAACATTTGACCAACTACAGAAGAGAATTCCTGAAAGAATTATTGAACATGCTGTTCGTGGAATGCTTCCTAAAGGGAGGGTAAGTTCCTCATTCTGACTTTGTTGTGTGAGAGGGTAGGAAAAAACTGTTATGAGAGTTTGATAATTTTTCATTCTTAGGACTCCACATTTTAACTCCTCCAAGTGAATAATTGCATAACATCACCAGCTTAGCAATACGCACACAAATTCATGCCTTTCATACATACAACCAAATGCTTTTGTATTATTAGTTTATTGTTGATCAACTCTGGTTGAATGATGCACATTTCTACGTTTGCTACCTGATAGTTTTTAATCACTGTGGTGATTTATTTCTTTGAACCTTAAATTTTGCAGCTTGGTAGAGCATTATTTAAACACCTAAAGGTTTACAAGGGTCCAGACCATCCACATGAAGCACAGAAACCTATTGAACTTCCTCTAACAGACAAGAGGATACAGAAGCTGAAATAGATACAAAGGTGTGTTTGCCTTGAGACTGCCAGCAATCCCTCTTTCTCCCTCGGCAGCCATACTCTCTAAAGTTCGGCCCTTCAGACTACAGGTTTCAAGCTGACATAAATGTGAAGCAAACCATTGCATTGACATTCTTCTCTTGCTTATATTTTTTGCTTGTAGATGTGTTTGGAATGGAACTTGCATATCTCCAGCCAAAGTCTGGTGCTAATTTGTATTTTAGAAATCATTCTCTAGGTTTGATTTTCAGTCATTTTTGTATGTAAATTTTAACTAACTCTTTAAATATGGAATTCTGTCCTGCTTCGGCAATTTCAAATGGAACATTCATGTACCTTGGAATGGAAACATCCAAAAAGAAATTCTGTCGAGAGATTATTACCGAAAATTGGATTGATTTAATCTCATAAATCATGTTCCAAAGGTATGTTCAAAATTTATGATCAGTACTATGTCAAGATTGAATCAGACAAAAGATGTATGAATAATCTATGGTATAACAAATATCACTTTCTTCCATGCCAAATCGTGAAATCAATGAGCTTGAAGAATGGACGGATCAAACGTTCTTCTACATGGAATCAATCTACTTCCTTCCCACCCTGTTAAGTCTCTGCAACTGGTAATTAATGCTTCCAAAAGCCTTTTTGTTATTATTTGTCTGCAAGAAAGTAAATCATAACGTTTCTTACAATCCCTGGCAATAAGTAAACCAACTTAGAAGAAAAAAAGAAAAAAAAATGGAAAAAAGGAAAAAAAAACACATATCCACGGTTTTAAGAAAGAGCAATGGTTTGGAGGCTGAACGCTTGCAGGCCGAATTGTAGGGCGAACAACCAGGCCCCTTGGTTAGGTAATCAAAGGTCTGGTTGTTCAGCCTACATTTTGGCTTGAAAAAGTTCAGATGCAGCATCATTTTCGTTAAAGAAATTGTTAGAAAGACAATGCAGAATCTGAGAATTCACCACATGAAGTATCTGAGCCAGCTCTATATGGTAACGGCAATAATAAAAAGTAACATGAGGTTCGGAGACATCTTGGGGTTCAGGGAACTATAGGCAAGGGAAATGAACTTTAAGCAGATGCTATTTCTCCGTTTTTCCCTACCATATCCCTGGTAGTCCAGAACAAGAAACAACAACCACATACCTGAGCATCCATACACACAGTCAATAGTTCCTTTTGCCGAGCACATTTGTCATCATTTAGGTGGTTAAGAGAAAAGCAGTTGAGAAACGATATCATTTCCTTCATGCAAGGTTAATTCATAGAGGCAAATCTCTTTTGGTTTATGTAAAGTTGACCAGCTTTCCGACCCATCCTTCGTGGTGTAAGCACAAAACCACACAAAACCACCAACATGGATTTAGTCATCCATTTAAGGAAAAATAGAAACAAAAGAAAACCCCGGAAGAAAAAAAAAAAAAAAAAAAGCAATAACAACAACAACAATCAAAAGGTTTAAGAATTGATAAGAATTGACAGAAAAAGAAAAAAAAAAGAAGCAATACCAACAATCAAGAGGTTTAAACTTTCAGCATTGACAGGGAATTGAGAAAGAACTAATTCTTGATTTTGAGATGGGAGCAATTGTAGATGTTGCCAAGTTTCTAATTTTATTATGCATAATGATATGATATATTACTAACAAAAGAAACAATAATAACAAGTACTCTACCAGCCCCCACTCCCCTGTTTTGCCACTTTCTTTCTCTTTCTTGATCCATCCAATTGGATTGCAAGTAGTTCTATTCTACACCCAAAATTGAAGACACAAACACCACAATACATTCCAAGATATTAGCTTAAGGTGTTCCTAAATATTAAATTAAGCAAGTCAAGAAGCAACACCGATATCTCCCTAAAATGAAAACTAGATGCAAAAGAAGCAAAGCTAAGAAATTTATTTAGCTCTCCAACCCAACCACCAAATTCCTCCATTTCTACACACAACTAAACTCTCTTCTTCTCTATTCCACAAAAAGAGTAACCCAGGACATCAACAGTAACATAGACAAAAGACCTAAACCCACTTTCCAGAATACCAAATTAAACTGGAAAATCCAGCCTTTGAAATTGGAAAAACAGAATGTGTTTCCAACAGCATAGATATCAAACAAGATTATCATTAAACCAATCGAAAAAATACAATCTGAACTTCTCTTGAATGCAAAAGAACTCAAATTCTGGAATCACAACAAAGTCACCGGAGATTGGGAACTCCGACGAAATCAAGCAGTGGAAACAATTTCTATACTTCAGTAAGAAAATAAGGAGGCTCGCAGCTAGAAATGACGTTTAGCAGATCGGAGATTTCTAACAGTGGGGAGATTGCAGAGGCGAGAGTAGGACTGTGTTAGGGTTTGCGATTCAGCAGTTACAGTGAGTTAGAAACTGAGTTGTCGTTCTCGGTGAAATCGGGAAGTCGGCTCAAGACCCGATAACTGACTACAGACCCGAGACGTTCTGGACTGTAAGGCTGCAGTTTTTTTCGATTAGCCCAGCCCATCTTAAAAAGAAAGGAGAAAGAATAACGTAAGTACGCCGAGTCCATGCTCACATTCTCAAAGCCCAGCTTGTCCTTCACTCAATCTTTCAAACTGATTTTGGCCTGGATTTTTATTCTTATTCTTAATAAATATATTAAAATTTAATATTGGTATCTATTAGTCCAGACTTGTAAAAAAATAGGCAGGAAAACATTGAAAAATAAGTTATTTTAATAAAATATTACACAAAAGACTAATAAGTTATTTAGTATAATAGTTTGAAATTAGTGGTTAATAGTTTCATTTAATCTAATATTAAAGAAATTTAAAGAAATTGATCGGATTAATCAATAATTTGAATAAGTCAGTAACAATTTCTCTCTTACAAAAATAGGAGGTTTTTAAATTTGAGTTGCATGATATAAAAGCGGGGTAAAGATTAAAGCATGGGAGAAAATTGTCTTTTATTGTGTAATCTAAAATAAAAAATAATAATTTGATTGAAGGAACAAATAAAAAAAAATCTACATTTTTGTTAGCAGCTGCTAAATATCATAACATGATGCTGTAGTGGAATATTTTCTGTTTATTACATTAGATTTTTTGAGAATATTGCATCCCACCGTTTGTAAGAATTGCACAGAGACGTTCATTCCAAGTGTCAGGAACACAGCCAAATCAGCAACGGTCATCTTGGTTAACGCTATAATTGAATATAGATCCAGAATTATAACAATTCTTTTTTATTAACCTCCTAGTATTCCAAAACTACATTGGAATTAATTCCAAATCAAGCCATGTTGGATCCCATAAGTTCTCTCAGTACCTATTTTTTTTATTCACAAAACTTGAATTTGAGATATTATTTAAAAAGAATCGAATTCTTTCCATTCAGACTAACAAAATTGTTGATATTATAGCAAATTGTTATGCATTCCTTATACTATATAATTCAACTTACAGAGAATGACGGACAAGCAACGGCAATTTTTTCTTTTCAAATCCTAAGCTTTCTTACAATCCTCCACAAAACTAATCAAATATATGCTTTGTAATTCAGAACAAAATACTAAATATCAGATGATAGGGCGTGGGAGTAGATCTTTTTATCAATAATATAATTATTATTTCACAATTTGATATTGTTTGTATTACAAAACACATAATTAGAAATATGCATGTTTCAGAATTTGTAAATATACTGCATGATCTCCTAAAATGGTTTTAATTTTAAAGTTCTGCTTTTGTGTCAATATATATGCATATATATGCGCTAACACATAAATACTATCTGATCGTTAAAAACAACAAAACTTGGACAGTTGGACACCTTACCTTGGTAGTACACAAGTAGCAGGCTTACATTTGTATTTGAGAGATATTGTTTGTCGGGCCGTCCATTTCCCTGGCAATTAACCTCTCTCTTCACAAACGGGCAAGAGGATGCATCATAAAGAAGGTAAGTTTCATCCAAAATCCAACTTCCTTGGAACAAATCACAGGCCTCCAATTTCACCTCACCTTTCTCCCCTTTCCCATATGATTGATAGATGCATGATATCAAGATAACGGAAAATGTAGCAAATGAATGTCCATGGAACCCATCTCCCATTCTCTAAGACAAACTAAGGATCACAAGGACATGGAAAGAGAGCTGAAATACTGTTACTATATATAAAGAGGATGTTGTTTTGCAATCTGCGCACAACTTTCCTGTATTACAAGTCTAGGCATCATTGTTGTTAAAAAGGGTAGCTGGAATCCACTAGCAGTTTTTCTCTTTTGGTTGGTTTTCCCTTTTTTATCTCAATAATAATATGTTTAGAGGGTTATATATCATTGTGAATTTACAATCTTAAAATATCTTTAAATTAATGAATTTATATAATGTTATAACTTATGAATAGGAAGTCTCTAAATAAAAATATATCAATCATATAATGTAAAATTATAGTACTACCTAACATTATAAGTATATTATTTTCATTTTATGTTTTGGCAAGTTATGCTCCGTTTAATTTATATTTTGCAAGGGTACGTAATTAATGTCTACCATATCAATCTGCGCTCTGGCTTAGATAGTCATATAATATTTATCCTTCTAATGAAAATTAATTTCTTTCTTTCATTTTTGGTATTTTCTTAAGTTGATTCCAAAGGGAAAATGCACAATCTGCTTTAGGGAGTGCTTGGTAGAGAGCCGTAAGGGTGTGTTTGGTTGGGGAAGTTTTTTCAAATTTTTATAGGGTTATTTAATTTATGTTTTTCACATTTTAATAATATAATAAAAGAAAGGATAATGATAGGTTTACCCTCATTATCCACACACTCCATTACACTCTTCAATTTCCGTTACTTTCCATTAATTACACCTTAACTCCTTACCATCTTTCTTTTCTCCTCCTTGCTGTTCACTATCCTCACTAGCCAGACCAAAACCTACAATTTCATCTTGGTTTTTTGATTTTCAACCTTCTTTTCCCTCCTCCTCATTTCTTTTTCTTCTTCTTTCCCTCTTCTCCCCTCTTTTTCCTCCTCTCAAATTTGGGTTCTCTTCAAGAATCTCGTGGGATCTCTTGGAGGAGGATGATGAGAGAGAGAGAGAGAGAGAGAGAGAGAGAGAGAGAGAGAGAGAGAGAGAGAAAGAGGAAGAAAGAAAGAGGAAGAAGATAATGGATGAAGAGGATGAGGATGGAGGTGAGGAGGGTTCTTTGATTTTCAACCTTGTTTTCCCTCCTCCTCCTTTCTTTTTCTTCCCCATGGGTTCTTTTTCAAGAGAACCCATATTGGGGTTTTCTTGGAGGAGGATGATGGAGGAGAGAGAGAGAAAAAAACAAGAAAAAGAGGAAGAAGATAATGGATGAAGAGAATGAGGATGGAGGTGAGGAGGAAGATGGATCTGGCTAGTGAGGATATAGTAAATAGCAAGGAGGAGAAAGGGAAGATGGTAACGGAATTAAGGTATGATTAACAGAAAGTAATGGAAATTAAAGGATGTAATGGAGTGCGTAGATAATGAGGGTAAACCTATCATTATTCTAAAAGAAAATAAACCTAACATTTTTACTTCTTTAATTTCCTTGACACATATCTTAATTAATAAACATTTTTTAAAGAAAAAAGTTTTTTTCTCAACTTTCCCTGTATGTGATTTACTTGACAACTCACTTACAAACTTTTTTTATGTTAATTTTTTATTAAAAATTAAAAAATTAACAAGTCAACAAAACTTCAACAAAACTTTCTGTGTAGTACCTTTTTAACTACTTTCTTAATCAAAACTTTTTCAACAAATTTAGTCTCTAACCAAACATACCCTTAGAGATGTTCAATTCATCACAATTATTAGTACATACCATTATATACTACATGTTGTAATTAAACCACAGTGCATGTTAGTAGTTAATATTTTTGGCCTGATCTTTCAAATCTCAGGTACCTTTGGTTTTGGGGGAACGGCAGCCGATTGGCCGGTTAAGAAAGCACTAAAAATAATTTGGGTCCAAATCCAATATGACCGATCAAATGGGTAGAGGTGCAAAAGTTTAGTGAATGATTATATAAAATCATGCCTCTAATTACTAAATTAGCAGTGGATTATTACGACCATGCCTTGAATTTTTATTTTTTTTCAACCATCTCTTATTCTAAAACCCGGGCTACTCTTGTCAAATTTAAAATTTTTCATTTTTATTAAAAAAAATTACCATTGGATTGTATGACAATAGATCACACAATATATAAGAAGAATCAAAGTTGACCTTGACACACAAACTTTGGAGTATAATGTAAACATGAAATATGATGGGAATTAACCGATTCTCTCGAATCTCTATTCTTTTCTACCATATATTCCTTTATTTCATCCAATTATAAAAATTACTAACAATAGTTT